CATCATTCTCTCGAAAGTGGCTGGTGCATTTCGTAATCCGAAAGGCATTCTAAGGTACTCGAAATGACCGTTAGGAACTGTGAAAGCTGTCTTTTCTATAGAATCTGGGTGGACTTCGATTTGGTGGAAACCCTGTGCCAAATCAAGGGTGGTAAAGTATGAACAGCGTCCTAGGTTGTCAAGAATTTCGTCAATGCGGGGAAGAGGGTATTTATCTTCGATTGTGTTTTCGTTAAGACGTCTATAGTCGATGACCATACGGAATTTTCTTTTACCACTTGCGTCAAGTTTTTTCGCAACTATCCATACAGGGGCTGAGTAGGGACTTATAGAAGGGCGGATGACATTGTTCTGTAGTAATTTATTGATTTGGTCGGAAATTTCAGGTAGCATTGATTTTGGGTGTCGATAAGAGCGGGTGAAGATTGGTGTTTCATCTTTAGTTCGAATAACATGTTTTACAGAAGTAGTAACGGTTAAAGGAGAATTTTCTGTATGAAAAATATCTTTAAATCGATGACAAAGATGGAGGATCTTTTCTTTCTCTTCTGCATTCAAATGGTCTGTCCGTAACAAATTAAGATCAAAATAATTGTCGCCAGACGATGGGGGAGTGATTTCTTCGAAATCTGAAATGGATGTGGCGGAGATTGGTTGTGAGAAGTTGATTTCAACATTGTTGGGACGTGGAATTTCTATGAATCCGTCTTCAGCTACATGAATTGATGCTGGAACTATTACTTGATTTTCATGTATAATATCAGAAATGACAACTTCGCCATTATTAATGGAGACCGGAATACGTAGTCGTTTATTACTACGGTAAATTATCTTAAATGGAATAGAGATCTGTAATTTTGGAATAGAAAATACATGTGTTTCGTAATCAATATTGGCTCCTAGTTGATCGAGTTCACCTGTACCTAAAAGTACATCGAAATCGTCATGCCAGTCGGCAATTCTAATTGTAAGGGCTTGCTGTATACCAATTTCTTCGAACAAAGGGTAGTAAAGATTGCGTGTATATGTTTTTGGGGTTTTCATCGATATGAGGGTAAAAGGTTCATAGAATTCATATTTCGAGTCGAAATTTTGAGCAGCTCTGGGAGTAATTACTGTATCAGAGCCACCGGAGTCGATGAGAACTTTTAATTTGGAATGTGGAAGGTAGAAGTAAGGAAGTTTCGTTGCTTTGGAAAAATTATTCAACTGAATGATTCTATGTTGGGTGCGGGTTCCATTGAGGCTGGTTCTAGAAAATTTTCCTCAGGAGAATCAAAGTTTTCGTAGCAATCTGTCTCAGGTATACAGTCTGCTTCGTTATAAGGTAAACTAGGCGGGGACTCGGGTTCACATTCAACATTATGATGGAACGTGCGGTAAGAGGACATAGACATTGGGGTAGGTTTGGAATTTGAAGATCTCTGGGAATGAATACCAGTCATGGGAGTTGGTTTATATTGGTTTCGTTGGTCTTGTGAATTATTAGGCCTAGACGATGGACCAAAGACTTGACGATTTGTCGGAAAAGATTGTCTCTGTTGGATGGGCTTATTTATATCGCCAAAAGGTCTAGGGTGCATAGAATTTTGGTTGAAAGATTGATTAGACGAATTGGGCTGATTAAAATTACGATGGTATTGGTTATTGGGATTATTGGGTTTGTTCGAAGTATTGAAGTTGTTTGGATTGGGACGAGGTTGAGGTTTTTGGTAATCGCGGGGGTGATTCGTGGATTTCAAGTAAGACATGTATTGTTGTTGCTGTCTGTGATTGTCAAGAGAGATACACTTTTGGAGAGCATCATCTAAAGTATTCAATTCGAAATGAGAAAGATGGTCACAATAAGGGTTGTTGATGCCTGTGCAGAAAGTTCTTAGAGCTTGTTTCCGGACAAATGAAGCCTTGAACTCTACTGCCTGGGCATTACTTTCACTTAATAAAACATGTTGTAAAAGGTCATTCAGTGCCAAGGTTATACGATGATGATAATCTTGGTAAGTCTCTGAGCGTTTCTGAACAGTTGTAGTTAATTGAGTTAACAAAATTTCTTCATTACGGTGGTCACCGTATTTTTGTAATAAAAGTGGTTTAATAGCTGGCCACGAATTTTTATTATGAATGTTCAGAAAATCTCGAGCTTCACCTTTTACTTTGGATAAAATATGTGCATTAATAATATACAATTGTACTGCATCAGCTCCTTGTTGGTTGAAAAATGTGATTAAATTATCTACAGAGCTTATAAATGTAGAAAGATTATCTCCAACTTTAAATTCAGGAAGAGTATTACACAAGTTATTAACATCAGAGTTAGATATAACCATTTTTGTAGATTGTTCGAAAGTATTAGATGGGTTATCAACAATATCGTCTTCTGACCTCTTTGAATGTTTACTGTAGGGTTGAAATCTAGATTTGTTTTGCGACTTGTGTGAAAAATTAACTATAGCTTGAAATGAATCTTGAGGGTACTCAGAACTCATATGAAAAGGAAATGGACTTACAGGATGAGAAGAATCGCACTGATTTTCATCGCCAGTATGGTCCTCCAATTTCTCGGTGTTTCTTCGTGACCCCAGGTAGAAATCTGCCAAATCGTTAAGACGAACCGATGATCCTTCTTGGGTGGATGCCGTGCAGATATCCTGTTCGCAGCGCCAATTATGTTTCTCAGCCACAACAAGGAGTTTTTAAAAAATATTTATTTTGTAGACATGAACGTGTTACAAGTTGGAATGATAATGAATTAAAATATAAAAAGAAAAATAGTTTTAATAAAGGTTTCTGCTGTCGTTGCGACTGGCGGTGTCGTCTTGCTGACGCCTCGGGTTCTTGACCTATAACGCGCGTAAGCAACAACCAGAATGGCGGCAGGTTATCTAAAAATTGAAAGGGAAATAAATCTTATGTTATAAGTAATAAAAATGGGCGTTAAAGGTACGCCTGCGAGTTACAGAATCTACACGTGTACCTTTCACTTATACCATATCTAAAACTTATTTCCCTTTCAATTGGTAGATGACCTGCCGCCATTCTGGTTGTTGTTAGCATGCCATAGTTATTTTGACTAGGTCAGCTGGAGAAGACTTTTGTACATGGAGATTTATCATGATTTATCGCTTCTAATGAGCATTCTATTTGCCTTACTATCATTTTCAAGAAGGTGCTCATAGCTCAACCGGGGAGACTGTAATATGGAGTCACATCTGTGCATTTTATAAGAAAATTAACGCATTTTACATAGCCTTCCAACAAAACCTTTAACCTGAGAATGGGGGAAGTTCCACACAGGGGCACATAAACACGCAAAAAGGGTGCTGAGATAGAGATTCAAAACATCAAGTAAATAACAGCCGAAAGAGGTTTTTTTGGTAGAATTTTCCTTATGGGTTGCGATGGTTCGGTCCACCTGCAGGTGTTTTGACATCTTTTTTATTATGTAATCTGCCCTCATTTGCTTATAAAATGCACAGATGTGACTTCATGTTACTCGATTTATGCACTTCTCCATCACATATATACAACCGAAAGTAGAGCTATAGTCCTAGTTGTTTCATATCCTCTTAAAAGATGTTTTGGAAATTTTAATCAGACCAAAAGGCATTCTTATGGGTATGTTCATTTGTAAGACCAAAAGGTTCCAGATTACGTTAGAATTCTACAATTCAGTAAATATTGGGTTGGTAGAATTTGAAAACCGGTACAATATACCCTACTTTTCCCTACAACTAAATGTCAAGTATCTACATTTTCGAGATTCCTATATGCTCCTAACAAGACATCTGCGTCCTAGAAGGCCAGCTGTCAATTTTTTGATCGGCTTTACAATGAACCTGAACTGAACTGAAATGAAGATGAGGTTGAGTGGCGGACTAAGAGGGCGCGATTGGATCGCCCCGTACCTGTATAAAGCCTCCAAATGTTGAGAAAACCCAATTTATAATCATTAAATTAATATTCTTTTATAATTGTTCAATAAAATAAGCCAGAAAGGAGTTACATTTCTAGATTTTTGTGTATGCCAACCCACGCTACCAAGAGATCATTTTATTTGAATATAAACACTGCGTACGCATCTCGCCGGGCCGTTTCTGCCAACCTGAATCAAACTTGCATGTTTGAATGCTCTGTCCAATTTGTATAAAACTGTACCGATGGTATGCGGTCATGAAGGAAATTAACAAAATCTTCCTAATTGTTATTTTGTTGGTTTTTGTTCATTTCAATCATGAGAGCATTTCAGGACGTATCGTTACTGTAAGCCTTTGTTTTTCAATTGTTAATCGAACACTCGCTCAATGGTTTACTCAGAATGTCCCAAAGAGCACTTTGACCGAGGGAAAAAGCAATTTTCTCAATTTGTCCTCTATTGCGGACATACCTACAATTGTCTTTTGTGCTTCATCTAAGTTTCCGCAAGGCTACTTGTCTTTCATTGTGGGAACTTCCTTCGACTGTTTGCATTTCTCGTACTAATACGCTGTTTACTACAAAAATCGATCAAAATGGGTAGTTCATGTAATTAACATTCATTATTAAGAATCAGTTTTAAGAAAAAATAATCGATTACCGAATTTTCAATACCTAAAGGTACAGATAGACATGCTCAAAACTAGCACAAAAGCATGCTACTAATGAGCAATTGCTACCTACTCGCACGTGTGTCTAAGCATTTGCTAGTATTCAGCATGCTCAAAACTAGCATGCTGAAAAATCGATCGACGTTCGATTTTTGAGCGTGCTACTTGAGATGTGGATGGAGGGGGAATGCCCTTGAGCAAGTGTGGACGCCTTTGCTAATAACGAGCATGCTAGTGTTCCGTCGCAAGTGTGCATGTGTGTTGCGACATCGAGCCAAAATGTCTCGCTGGGGAGATGAAAAGACGTTTAAATTTGTAAATCTTTACCGGAGCCATGAATGCCTTTGGAATCCAAAGCTACCGGATTACAAAAACAATATTTCAAGAAATAATGCGTATAAAGATTTGATAATAAACATGAATGACCCTACTCTAACTGTTAAAATTATAAAAACCAAAATTAAAAATTTGAGGTCTGTTTACCACTCAAAAGTGAAAAAAATTAACAGTTCGAAGCGATCCGGATCTGGTGCCGCAACAGTATATAGTCCATCCCTGACATGGTTTAAAGAAATGCACTCTTTCCTTGGAGACACAGGTGATTACCGGGAAACTATTGAGACAGCAGTGGTAAGTTTTTATACTTTTATTATTATATCGCCTAGAGTTTTGTATAGAACATAATATATACTAGAAGTACAGGTTGTTTATATCATATGGCCTTGCTTCTGTAGTTTCAAAAAGTTGTGCATAAGCGTTTCTTATTGCTTCTGCCTTTCGAGAGGCATGGTTACTATGACACGCAGGTGGTAGGCTTCCCATAGCTGTACGCAGTTGTGTCCTCCATGCTCCTGGTACAACAACACGTTGTTGCACATCTTCAAAATCAACGCATCTGTGAGTGATGTACATATCAGATGTTTTTCGCAGCCAATTATGTAACGAGCAAGCAGCCAATACAATACTATCAACATTTTTTGGTCTCATATCTATAGTGTTCAGAAGAACTCGAAATCTTGTGACTAAAATACCAAACGCATTTTCTACAATCCCTCTAGCCCTCGACAAACGGTAGTTAAACACTTGTTCTTTATGCGTTGGTGTTCGTGGGTAGGGCTTCATTAGATAAGTCTTTAAAGGAAAAGCCGCGTCTGCCACAATTATCGATCGCTCTGGTAAATTAAGAGTATTATTTTCTAAAGCTTGTGCCAACTTTGATCGTTGAAAAACACCGCCGTCATAAGCTCTCCCATTAGTTCCAACATTTACATATGAAAAACAGTAATTATCGTCAACTAATGCGAGAAGTATAGTGCTGTGGGCACCCTTATAATTGTAATAATCGGAAGTATCATCAGGAGCACGTATATTTATGTGTTTTCCGTCCAGCGCCCCAATACATCCTGGAAAGTTCCATTTAGTTTGAAATCCATGCTCAATACGCTTCCATTCTTCATGGCACGGAATCTGTAAAAAAGAAAACAAAATCTCTATATCCAATAGTATACAGTAGAATTATTATTATCTAATATTTATTATTATTATTATTAATCTTTTTACAGGACACAGATGAGTCATCGCAGGATTCTCGACCAACTAGTGCTAATTCGAACTCTAACCCCTTGTCACCGCCATCAGTCATCACCGTAATGTCGCCACCCTCGACTACTGACATTGCTCTAAATCGTTTAGAAAATATAACTTCGTCTATAAACAGACAAGCAGAATATGATGAATTTCATTTTTTTGGTTTGAATATTGCTGCCCAATTGCGAGCCCTACCATTAGATGATGCACTAAACGTGCAAACTGAGATTCAGACAATTATAACTGCGGCTAGACGTCGACATCTGTACCCAAACTTGTCTACATACTCCACTTCACCCATACAAATAATAATTCCCACACCTATTTTTACAAATATTCAAACTAACAACAGCCAAACCGAAGCAGAAGACGCTTTAAGCAGAGCATGGAGATTTTCTTAAAGTATGTACTTACCAGATAATATGTTAACAAAAATAAATGTTTCATTTGAAATAATATCAGTGTTCTACTTACCCGCATATAATCCTTCAAAGCCCTGTATCATCACAAACTTTTGGTATAAATTGAGCTATGGTAGATCTCGCAACCCTGTGAAGTGCTTCTAATGTGTACATGGAATCTCCAGCTGCAAGGTATCTCAGTGTAACTTCCAATTTGATTTTAGCTGGAATAGCATTTCGCATATGTGTATCTTGTTTTTGTATAGCATTTTCAATTTTAGAGAGTAACTCGTCAAACTGATGCGGAAGCATACGTCAATGATTTTGATAACCCTCACTATCTTCTGCTCGCATTTCGACCAACAAACGAGTACTGGCTCCAAGATTTTCTCTTCTATTTATCCAATCACGGACCCAAATCGTCCTATTCCTTCTTTTTTTCTTTTTTGTTAAAAGTATATTGCGTATGTATTGCACTGCAAGTAATATGATGGTTTCGTTCACTTGTGTGCGGATAGCCACGTCGTGTTCCATGTTTTCCACCACACTACACTGACAGATGCTAGCAAATGGTACGTGTAGGTAGAGTGTTTGTTTTAAGCATGCTTCTGCAGGAGCATGCCTGAAACGAGCATGCTTATTTCAAGCACATGTATACAGTTAAAAGAGCATTCTCGTTTGAAGCATGCTCACAGGCATGCTTTTTTATAGCATGTCTATCTGTACCTTTAGTCTCCTGAAACACAGCACCTTCTAGAACGAAAGCAAAGCCCCTCTACCCAATTTTGCAGAGAACCGCTGACGCACAATCAGGGAACTGCAGTTGTGTGCAGTGGCTGTGCGTTTGGTGGAACAATGCACCAGATATCAGAACGTAAGTGCTACATATGCTTATTTATTCCTTATTTCATCCCTTTTTGGTCCATTTGTACTTTGGTGTTGAAAAACTGTAATATACGTCATATTTTTGTACAAGACAATTTGAAAAACAATGAAATTATAACTCAAAAACGATCATAAAGCATCTTATCTACATATCGTACTTCACGTACGCCAATTTTTATATCATATTTACATTTTTGGTGTCAAGACATTTCTATTAGAGCCAAACTATTTTCTGAAAGTTTGAAAGCGAGCAATTGTCATTTTTACAAGATGGCGACCAAATATGCTTATGTGTTCGATGCTTGAATTTTGGAGACCGCTTGAAATTTCAACAAAATGTGATTTTTCCATTTTGTCTTCCTGATTAAGTCCTCATGGGTCCATCATCGGGTTTCTCAACCTTTTAAATGATACAGGCCGATTAAACCTAGATTCTACATATAACACTTATCTGAGTCAACATATGCGCATGGAGCTTTCCTTTTACCAGTGGTCTTTGGGGGAGGAATTGCAGCTCTTCTTAAGCCCCTTTGGTGTTTCAACAGAAATACCGTCACTGCATGTACCTGTCAAAGTTACGATTTCTATTGTGATAATGCCAGACTATGTGTCAGATGCTTGGAAGGTCAAGAAACCATGTCAAGGTTGTTTAAATATTCAGTGCTTTTCATAAAGCCGCCTCCTACTTATGTTTTGAACGATTTACTACCTAGTACGCCGAAATTTGGGACAATGAAATTGATTCATTAATAAAACTATATATTCGTGTGAAAGTGACAGTTAAAAATTGCATGACAAGCAGTCAAAATACTCATCATTTTCGAAAAAATTTTAGTAGATGCTGAAAATTGACAGCTTGTGGCTGCAGGCATTGGGGGAGCTAGGTAATTTTTTTCTCAGAAGGGCCAACTTGTGCCAAACGTGATCCTTTACGAACAGCGTAGCGTGAGAAGTACAAAGTCAACTTACTTGACGCCATATTTTCAATGGTAAAATGATATTCCTTTCAATATTTTTTGAGGACCGCCACTTCGGAGTTTTAGAAGGAACTCAAAATGTTGTCTAATTGGAAAGTGAAGGTTTGAATATTTTGTACGTTTTATCTACTTTAAGCCCGCCACCACCGGCACTCAAGTTTTATATACGCCACTGAAAAACCTGAAATTCAGACTTTCCCGTGTGATTTCTGCAGTATCATTTATCCCATTTTGCAATTTCTGTTTAAAGATGATGTTTAACCGACATATAAACAATTTGCAGTTCGAGCTTAGTTAGAGAAACAACTGATAAGTGAGTTGCTTGCAGTGGCAAAATTCGCAACGGCCGACGCGAATTGGATGAATGATGCATTTTTCATGTTTATTCCAGACCGACTGTTACTCGATCCAGTCTTAGTGTAAGTCTACTCTAAACAGCACTTCATCGTTGCCAATTTTTAGATATAAAAAGAGACTCCGAGCAATTTCAAGCAAACTTGCAAGTACTCTTTAATTTTTTAATAAGCTGCCTCTCTGTCAATATTGATGTTTGTAGGTTAAATAGTTTCCATTATTTCGTGATCGATATGTATATTATCGCTTTTATATACAGGGTGTTTCAAAATGTAGCCTCACCATTGGGATTTCGGAAACTGTAATAGATACGCAAAAGATTAAATATGGGCAAAGTTGCATATTTAGGTGGATAACAAAATTGCACTTAGAATGTTTCGAAATTCAAAGTACTGCCGGAGAGAGATGGAAAACAACGAATGTTGTCAAAATCGTTTGGTTTTTTCCTGACTTCAATTTTAGTGGAGTCTCAAAATGCATTGCACATTAACATTGACACTTTCCTTCATCTACAAGACGGCATAATTAGAACTTTAATATGACGTTTTGTCTCTTGTCCTCTACCACCAACTTTATTTTTTCTTATGTACTCCATATTGGCTTCTTGCACAGATAAATAGGGTTTTTAATTGTGATTTCAAAAACGTATAGTACGTCATCGTATTTTCAGCTTAACTTTTTTTAAAAGTTCGGTTGTTTAGTATAGGAGGAAACCAGCGAGGGAAGAGCATTTTTTGGGATCTGTACAAGTGAGGGGGTCGCAGTGGTGGTCATAGCATTCATATTCTCGAAGATATTCATCCCCCCCTGGGAAGGGTGGCAGGCTTGGGGGTCTAGGAGGGGAAACTCGTCCTCCTCTGAGTCCGCCATTGACAGTACTGTTTATAGTAAGAAATCTAATAAAAAAATAGTTCTATTATATGCATAACTATATTTCAATATAATAACTAATATTATTACATTGCAGATTAAAAAAAAAGGTTTTGGATATAGATTTCTTCGATATCTTCATTATCTTCGTGACTACTTTCGTTGTCAGTATAACCTTCTCTGTCAGTTTCTGTAACTATCTAAACAAGCTAATACAATTATGCATAATATTGTAAGTATGTATAATAATTACATAGCTGTTAATGCTTTTGGAGAATCACTGACATAATTTGGTCAGCCAAACTATTAAAACTGGTATTTGTCATTTTTCATGCCATAGTTGACAGATCATTTTTTGGCAAAACGGACCCACTGAAAAGACTTATACTCGTAGTATAAACGACAATCAATACAGTCTTACCGAATTTCATTTAGGTTGCAGTTTCTGTGGCCGAGAATTTGTGAGACAGTCTGCCAATCGAGAAATGTATTATACCGATAGAAGAGAAAAAATAGGTCTGTTTCATGTTCAGTCTAACCGATTCTGGGTTACAAAACACAATAACTTATATTGAGAAGTGACTTGATTGGTAGTTTACGTACTCTACAATGTGTAAGATTCAGTCCGAATTGAAAAATATAGACAGGAATAGAAAAGATAAAATTGATATCTGTTTCTCAGGAAATCTTGCATGTTCGGTCTAATATATTTTGATGTACAGATTTTTTTATAAGTTTCTGATAAACGACTCGAGCTGCAGCTTCTGTGCACCGGAACTTGTAAAATGCAGTCACCGAAACGAAAAATATAGATAAGATAGACCAGAAAATGTCGAAAAAGTATGTACCTTTGGTAATTCTGCGTCGCCGCAACACAGTCTCGCAGACTTTCAAGCACAGGACGTCAAATGTTCCCGACGTGCGGTGACTTGTTTGGCCGCAACGACATTTCGACGTTCCAACGAAAATGACCGACGTTGATATAAATACTGAAATATTGATTAAAGAAGTGAGGAGGCATCATGTAATTGTAATTCGTCAAACGATTTAGAACTCATTCTAAAATAATTGAAAAACTTTTCCACGTGGTTTCTCAGATCCGAAAAATCATGAACAAATGCTCCCTTTAATGAACGGGCAATCACATAAGGGTGTACCCAGTGTTTCCTTTTCTTTTACAAATATGATACTTATATACGTAATATGCAAATAAATCACATTGTTCATGCTCAAGATCCATCTTGCTACTTCTGTCGCGTCGAGAGAACTGCATGCGTTATTGTAGGCTCGTGTGAACTTTTCTCAAAAACACTGTCTGCGTCGATGCAACGTCGACGTTGCGTTACCGCTTCGTCAAAATACGTCCGTGTACACCGGCTGTTAAGTTGCACCTTCTGTGTACAACAATCTCTGAGACGCAATCTCTGAAATGAAAAATGAAAGTAACTATAAAAGAGAAAATATCAAAATGTTGTGTCTTTAGTAATCCATTATCATTTTAACACAGGAATATTCAAATTCACCGGTATAAGACTACCTGCACCGAAATGAAGGATTAGAACAACTTTTTCTGGACAACGTTAGTCGGTATGTGGTCTTACCGAGTTTTGGTGCACTGAGTGGTGCAACTGTATGAATAATTTTAGTTTTTTAGATGCCACTTTTGTGTGCCATATTCTGTGAGGCACAGAGACGGATATAACTACAGATGAGGAAGTAATAGAATATACATTGACATGTATCTGATTTGTCTCACTGTTTTTGATACTGAGAACCCTGTCACTGGATGAGCAGTTACAGCTTCTTGGTAACATACTCCATGAGACGCACTCTTCGAACCCAAGAAATGAAATGACGCTATCGAACTATTAGAGGATTGCTTGTCTGGACAACGATTGTCACACCAGCTTATGATATCCAGTCTAACTGGCACACAGTGTAGTGTATCTATAATTGAGTTGCACATTCTGTGCACCACAATCTGTCAGCCACAGTCTTCAAGTTGGGAAGTGTACACAACGATAGAAGAGAAAATACCGGAAAGGTACGTTTTTTGTAATATTTTATCGTTGTTATACAAACATGAATGTTTAGGCTCCCCAATTTTTGTAAAGAGGTTGTATCTAGATGTATGATTTCAGTTGTAACTTGTGTATATCAATATTTTAGAGACATAGTCTCCGAACTGAAAAACGAAAACATCGTTAGAAGAATCCATAAATATAGTGTCATAGATTGCCGGCATTCAGAGAGTTTCAACTGGGCTTACAACTTTAGGTATACAGGTTGCAACTAGATGCATAATTTTAGTCCACTGTGAACATTTGTGTGAGAACCGAAATGAAAATGGAAACGGCGTTATAAGAGAACAGTCTCACAAACCGTAGGTGGTAGACGGTCTCTGACTGTCGAACGTGGAGGTACCACCCGGCAGATCTCGTAGGCGGAGCCAGAATGTGTGCATGTTGCATGCACACGTGTTCCCTCGCCAGAGTCCGTGTGGCGTTCCCCCTTTCCCCTGTATCCCCCTATGGTCCCACGGTACCCATTGGGTGTTTAGGCCTTAGGCCTTCGTGGTAGTTGGAATATAAAAAAAACTGTTTGTTGTAAGTTTGTTCGTCTGAAACGCGAAAAAACGATGTTTGAATGATTTTTACTTTTTTTTGGTTTAGGTCTCTTCCTCCGTTGCCACTTGCCCGATTTTCAAAAACGATAAAGCCCTTACGTCCTTGGCATTGTAGAAAGCACTTTTATGTACCACAATCTGTGAGGCACAGAGACTATAGCTGAGGAAGTATTAGAATATTAGAATATACATTGACGGTCATCTGTGTCCTGAGAATATTGTTACTGGATGTACGAACAGTTACAACTTCTTGATACAACTTATGGATATCAAAATCTTAATCACACAGTCTCCGAAATGAAAATCGTTAACATCGTTAAAAGTTGCACCGACCTCAGAATGGACACAGGATGCAATTAGGTGTACAATTCAGTACACTGTCAATATTTGTGTAAGAAACGAACTGAAAATGGAAACAGCCTTAGAAACAAACACACTGTTTGTTGCCAGTTTGTTCGTCTGAAACGTGAAAAAACAATGTTTGAGCGATATTTTTTCAATTCTCAAAAACTAAACTTTGCGTACTTGTCATTGTAGCAACATTGTCTACAATTTTTTTTGAAAACCGGGCGGTACTTCTCAGGTTATAGACTGTTATAGGATTAGCGGACAGACAGACCGACGAAATGAAAGAAATGGTTTTTCGTGACGTAAATGTCATACGAGTATAATATCCAAAATAGTAATAACATCTTATTTCAGTTCAGATTGGTGCTTGCAAGGCAAACGGCAGATCGGCATGGCTCACTGTGAGGGTCATAAATAAGGATCACTTTTCCGAAAAAAAAAATGATGAACTAAAATGAAGATTGAATAAGAATGAGAAAAAGCAGTAAAGTTATTGAAAGAAGTGTAAAGCAGAGGGACTTTTTTGAAAAGTACTGAGTAATCACGCTTTCCGTAGTAAGTACATATACAGTGTGCATGTTTAATATAGTATATAGCATATAATAATAAAATTATGAAAATTATTGATCCTACTCTGATGGCTTCTTTGGTCCTCTGACAACTATAGCATCGGCTTGATTTTTTCATTTCATATCACAGAACACTATTTCTTTTGTTTCAGACGAGCATCTCAATTGTCAGAGAAACTGTGCCAGGAGCATGCTCAGATCCGCAGAATTGTGAACAGTCTGCAACGTGTTGAAGCACAAACATGTTGACGTATGTTTGTCGTCAATGCTTGAGCCGCAACATGTTGCAGGTTTGCATTGCCGGCACGTCGTTGCGGCACAAAGGACAATATGAACAAGTGCAATTCTGAAAAAATGGCGTCAAGTAGGTTGACTCTGCACTGTCTACGCAACTTTCTCAAGAGTTCGTAAAGTATTATGTTCTGCACAAGCTGGCCCCTCCGAGATAAAAGTTAACTACGGACACGTAGAACAAAAACATTAAGGGAGTCAAGTTATTCACACAGACTAATACAATTAAGATTTGCATACTTTACTTTCTCTTTTTGGTACAATTTTGGAGCTCTTTAGAACTTGTCTGCCTGAGAAAATATGCTCTTCCTCGCGCTTCAGAAAGTTTTGGAGGTAGTATTGCTTTCACACAAAAGTTACCTCTTGTCGATGGATGGCCCTCCTCCTTCCGCTGAGAATTCCTAAGGCCGCATATGCTGCTACAAAGACACCTAGTTCTGACGTTGTCTCTTATTGTAATAAAAATTCTTATTCTGATCCCTTGGGATAAACATACATTTGAGTTTTGATGCACGCAAAGTGAAACACCAACTGTCAACTGTCTAGCTTGGGCCTTACAACAAATAGTCATAAAATGTATTCAAATATGATTTATTATTAGTCCTTTTATCCTAATCTGGAAATATGTCAACTTGTGCAGATAGACCGAAGCTCCTTATACTGCTTCTTTGGATTGTGTGTTTTAAGATTGATTTTGAGTTGAAAATGCATTCAAATATGACTTATTATTTATTAGTACTTCGATTCTATTCTGGAAATATGTGAACTCGCCCAGATAGAATGGAGCTCTTTATAGTGTTTCTTTGGAAATGGTATGTTTCCAAGATTAATGTTTATCTAAAATATAAAAAATAATTTTGCAAACGCATCTTACGTATCTGGGAATAGAGTCGATTAGTTTCTGCGAAGTGACTTGGCGATTGGGCTCATGAGCAAATAAGTGAAAATAGGTATAAAATTGTGAACACAAATACTAATACTGCAGGTGTCAGGTTGAAGAAGGGTGGAGAAACAAAAGCAACGAAATAAGGAGTAAGACTGGAAAATTGATGAATTGTTATACCTATATCATAGGTAAGTGAAGGTTTTCTACAGGATGTCGCATCGGGAACACCATCGATAAATTTCTCGAAATATTTTTGAAAATTTGGGAGTATACTAACGTCGATGGGGCAAGGGCAGCTAAAATATTTTCAAGATGGTGGCCCTTCCGGTTATACCGGAAGTTGATCCCAACTTGCTTATTTTGGATGGGCATATTACTTAATATTCGGATTCTACATAAAATTCTAATCATATTTTATGTATAATCATGAGATCAAACGAACTTACCTGTGATGTTCGATCTTGATTATATAAAGGCCCCGTCGAAGAAAAATAGTAATACGTAGTATCTCCATCTCTAGCGAATCGGTCATACATTTCAAAGCAAACATAACCCCTCCCGCCGCTCCCCGCTGCCGTCATCGTACTCAGTTCATTTTAAAGCTGATGAATTGTTGCAATTATATTTTTGGGGAATGGGATGGGTTGGGACCCTATTTTTCTTCGACGGGGCCTTTATATAATCAAGATCGAACATCACAGGTAAGTTCGTTTGATCTTATGATTATATTCGGCCCCGTCTCGAAAAATAGTAATACGTAGATATTTAGAGTTTATTGCAACAATTAGAGACTGCATACATTGCGAATTTTCTATTCCAAACAGAAAATGAACTACCTATATAATATTACATATTACCTATGGTAGGTATGTCATTTATGTTCACAATGTCATATTACATAAGTAATATAAGTAACAATAATAATAGTAATAGTAATAATGGTGTTAGTTAATAGTAAGTAAGTAATATATGTAATTATAACCCTGTAAGTAACATCATCTTTCAGAAAAAAAATTTAATAACTAACATGTAAGTATAGCTTCTGCAAATGTTTGATCTGACAATAGTGGCCTATTATATACTTGAGCAAACATCCTAGAGTCTCTAGACCAACCCGCGGAAAGACGAATTGTGTCCATATTTAGCCCTTTTCTTTTTGCAGCAGACGTCGCCGCATGCCTGGTACTGTGCGCCGAAAATTTGTGTACGTCAATGCCACTTTTTTCTAAAATAATCTTAATCCAGCGACTTAAGGTCTGCGTAGATGCTTTACGGTAAGGCATTTTGCTGGTTAGAATTAAACTTGTTTCAGAACCCCTTAGATTTTCTGTTTTTTCTAGATAGGTAAGGATTACCCTAGACACACAAACTTCCGGATCCGAATTTAAAAAAGGAAGGTGGAAAAATGGCTGGGATCGATCTTTACCAGAGGTCTTAATTCTTTGGGGCACCGCTATATTTATTTCGATCTCTGATTTATAAATGTGCGTGATTTCTATAAGGGCTAAAGTTTGAAGACGTTGACCTGTGGCCAATGCTAAAAGGGTTACAAGTTTTTGGTTCAATTTCCTCAAAGTGATATCTTTGTTTTTCCATTCCCTTAGAAAATTTAAAACTACTGCTGGATCCCAAGTATTTTGATATTTCGGTAAGCTTGGTCTAAGCATATAGACTCCTTTGAAAAATTTCTGAATCCTGCAATCCTGTGCCAAGTCTCGCCCCGCTACTTGAGCTATAGCAGACCGATAAGTATTTAAAGAACTATAAGATGCTCCTTTCTTAAAATGATAGGTTAGAAACTCTAAGACGGTTACTACTGAAACCGAATAGGGATCTGCTTTCTTGGTAGAGCAATACTCCCACCATAGTTTTAAACCCGAACTATATTGCTTTAAGGTAAACTCTGAGATTGAGGCCATGCAAATCTCCAAGGAGTCGGTTGGCACTTTGCCTAGCTTAAGCGCTTCCCGGATAATCGACCTGCCATCAGGGAAATGTGTTCCGATAGCGGATGTGGAATTCTGCCAAAAGATAATAAGTCTGGTTTAGGTTCAAGAATCATAGGTTCAGTTATTAACAGAGACGTAAAACTGGATACCACGGTTGTGCTGGCCAATTGGGCACAACCATGATCCCTTCTGCTTGGTCATTAATTATTTTCTGTAGGGTACTTAAAATTACTGAAAATGGGGGAAAAGCGTAAAAAATAAATTTTCCCCAGTGTATGGTAAAAGCATCTATTGCCATAGCATCAGGATCCCTAAGCCATGAAACATATTTCCTACATTTATTATTTATCCGACTGGCAAAAAGATCAATTTCTGGGTTACCTAGCACTGCGGTCAATTTATTATAAGCCGAGTTATGAAGTGACCATTCCGTGTCGATTTTCAACTCACGTGAAGCCCTATCAGCTTCCACATTATCTGATGACCTAATATATGAAGCCATCAAATAAATATTCTTACGTTCGCACCATTGCCAAATTTTGCGGGTAAGATCATTTAATTTTGGATATTGCACACTTCCCATGCGATTTATATACGACATAGCCGTAGTGTTGTCTACCCTGCATAAAATTGAACAATTAGATAGATCTTCAGCAAAACACTTTGACCCAATGAAAACCGACAGTAATTCTAAATAATTTATATGATGATTATTTTTCTCTTCTTCAGACCAAAAACCGTGTGAAATAATATTATCGCAGTAAATACCCCAGCCAGTATTAGACGCATCTGAAAAAATTACCTTTTCAAATTATATCTTATGGCTGGACATACAGATATTAATCTCCCTATTATTTTAGAGAAATCCCTAATCTTGCACTGTTTCCAGTCCTTAAAGTGTTTCAATATTTCGATCAGTTTCTGACGCTTTTCTATTGGTATTGAAACAGTCATATATAAGGAGTTATACTGAAAACCTAAATAAACACAAGTCTTTGAAGGGACTAAGACACTCTTCTTATGATTAATAATGAATCCTAAATGTTCTAAAATAGAAACAGTGCTAGAGACATTTAGCAAACAATCATCATAGGTCCTACCAATTAATAAAAAATCATCCAAGTATACCACTGACGTAAATCCTTTTATCCTGAGATAATACACAATAGGCTTCATTAACTTTGTAAATAACATTGGGGCAAAATTTAAACCAAAGCAAAGGCAGTTGTATTGATAAAGTTGTCCCCTAAAATAGAACCTTAAATATTTTCTATCCTTATTGCTCACAGGAACTAGGTAATATGCATCCTTTAGATCTAATTTAGACATGAAACAATTCTGGGTAAGCAACTTGAAAACCGTTTTATGGTCTTCTAACTTAAAATGGTTTGTTTCTAAAAAAACATTTAACTTTTTTAAATTTAATATTAGACGAAAAGTACTATCTGCCTTGGGAATTATAAAAATGGTTGATATAAATTGACCCTCACAAGGTTCCACCTGTGAAATGGCTTGCATTTGCAATAAGTTTTCAATAGAGTTCGAAATTATAACCTGTTCTTTTACAGACCATTCTTGTTCTTTTGGAACTATTGTTTGCTTAGGTAATTTAAGAAAGGGTAGCCTAACACCTTTTAACCAAGACAAAATACGTTTATCTTTGGTAAACTGTAACCAGCGAGCTGTAAAATACTTTAAACGTCCTGCAATCTTATTTACCTCTAATACTTGCGGTATTTCTTCGCATTCTTGTATTGACCCAGTCGAGGATATTCCCCCTGGCGATTGTACCGAGAGTTGTACTGCTTGCTGGAACCCGGATTGCTGGGATTCTGATTGCTGGGATCTTGGCGATATCGTCCACCTAGTTTGGCTCCCCGTTGATAACTGGATGGACTCCTGTAGTTTAAAGTATTTTTTGAAATAGTTTTCTTTGGCTGTGGCGCTTTAACTATTTTCAATTGCTTGGATGAAAACTGTAGACTCTTTGCAGCTTTTAATCTTTCTTCCAAATCCTCCCCGAAGAGCCATTCATCAACAGGAGAATCAATTAGAGTCTCTTTCCATTCCTTATCTGTATTTCCTCCCTCTGTTTTCAATAAGTCTGAAATAACAATTGCAATTGCAGATAAGCCAGATCCTACTTGAGCCTGCTGACAACTGAGACGAGAATCTCTTTTTGCTACCGAATCCACAATAGCTTGTTTAACCACCGCATTTAGCTTTGGGGCTCCAAAATTATGGGCATTCTCCGGAAGAGGGTACTTTTTCATAATATCACGCCTCTTTTCATCTTCCAATCCTTTCTTAATTACCGTTTTCCATCTGTCGGCTACATCCTGTTGGATAGAGGGGCCCTTAGTTTCTGGCAATTCCACTTCGTCCCCCAAGGCTAACAATATGTCACCATTAAGTTCGCCAACATTATTTCCCTCATTTGCTACATCTGAAAAGAATTTACTTTCTGATGCATTGTACTTTATTATAATTTAGGGTCTGACTAGCTAGAATGACTCTTACATTGATCAATGGTGTTCTCCGGAATGCTGAAGTTGCATTAATATTGGAATATAATGTGGCAAAAAACCCAAAAAAGTATATATACACATATATACATATATATATATATATATATATATATATATATATATATATATATATATATATATATACATATATACACATATATACACATTCATGTTTCGAATGTATTAAAAATGACACATAGTTATAATCCAACAAAATGTTTAAATCAGGCCTACTATTCATCTGCTGTCATAAACAGAAAACTTGACATCATAATCAGTTTAGCTCAGGTATACGTTTGTTATCATAAACAAAACAAACTGATGCCATAACCAGTTTTTCTACGTTTGTTATCATAAACAAAACAAACTGATGCCATAACCAGTTTTTCTACGTTTGTTATCATAAACAAAACAAACTGATGCCATAATCAGTCTTGACCAAAGCGTATGTAGAACAATCAAACTAATACCCCACTTAAGTATGGACCAGTGGTATCATAACCACTGAAATTATACACCATGAAGGAATTAAGATAATCACCTTCTTTTTCTCCTATATCTGATCCACCGTCAGCTTCCGATCCTGAATAGGAACGCCTATCATATGAGTGGCTATCGGATCCGTCCTCGGAATTAGAGGTTCCTGATGAACTGCCATGATGCCATCGCCTTGGTCTTTTCTCTTCCATCTTATCCAATCGCTTCTCCAATCTCTTGACAATTTTCAAAAACTTTTCCCCTACAGTGGAAGGAGAAGAGCTACGACTCCTCTTTCTAGACCGCTTCGGCATAGTTTGAACACTTGAAAACACAATTATCGAAAAATTCACCACTAAACGGTACGACGGCGACGAGTTGATTTCTGCGCGGCAGTTCGCCCGTAACCTTTCGCATACAAATGAAGAGTACGATGACGGCAGCGGGGAGCGGCGGGAGGGGTTATGTTTGCTTTGAAATAATGTATGACCGATTCGCTAGAGATGGAGATACTACGTATTACTATTTTTCGAGACGGGGCCGAATATAATCTCTTATAGTCAAGTCTAACCGTTTTTGAAATATTTCAAATTTTATGTCAAAAATGACGTTTGCAGGCCCTAAAATGATTGTTCATTTCCCCTATGTAGAACAACTTATTGTTTAATTTGAATTGATTTTCTGATAAACATAGTTTAATAGACTTTGTATGATATTTCGATAATTATTTATACAGGGTGGTCAAAAAATTAGAAATCAGAATGTCAAAAATTTCCAAAAGTCGATATTTTCGAATGAAAACCCCCTATTTTTATAAGTTCATGGCACCCAGCATTCAAATTTAGCGTAATTTTATACAGGGTTTTCTATTCCAAAAATGTTTACTTTTCCAGTAATTCGCAATTCATTACTTTTCTATTGTAAAACTCCTATAAGTACAGATTTAGTTTTTTAATTAGTTGACTATGACGGCGGGATGCGGAGAACAAACAATTGCGATCTACAAAAACGTCACTTTATAATAATGCACTTCATTTGACAGTTTATTTATTATTTTTAATAATCATGCCCGCGCATTTAAATTTTACTTACGAATACTATTTCAATTTATTTACTATTCATGTTGAATGCAACAGAGTGATATCAAGAGCATGTGTTTGCTTATAGATATCCAGAAAAAAGAAGACCGGACGCACATACGGCTAAGTAAGCAAAGAAAATTTCAAAAGTTTCAGTTGTGTGTAGCCTAAGGTTCAAAGGAATAAACCTTTAGTTAACAATGAAGTCATCGAAATAGCAGTTTTGAGGTATTGTTATGCTTTTCCAATGACGTATTCACGACAAGCTGCATGAGAGTCAGGTTTTACGAAAGATACCATTAGCAGAATTTTGCACAAACACAATTTTTATCCATACAAGCTATCATTAGTCCGACAAGGTGTCAGGAAAATCATATTATTTTCCCTATTCCCCCTATTCTCATTATTGGGCTAACGAGAACCTTCATATAATAAGAGAAAGAAACTTTCAATACAATTGGCAGTTCAATATACTATATACTGCGCTGTCACAGGTAATCAAGTTGTCTTTCTTCAGTATTATGAAGAAAATTTAAATGGTAAGTTAGCAATTAACAGTTTGTTTTTAAAGAAACTGACAAGAATGTGCAATATGCAAATACCAGTAGTATAAGTTTTTTAACACATAAGGTCCGCATTGCCAACATTAGTACCAATTTATCTCATTTATAAATATTTGGATATTAATGAAAACGTTATGCATTTATAAAAATTATTATTATTAATACCCAATAATATTTTTAGGTGAGGGTTATTTGAACATTCTTCGGAATTTAGAAAACAATTACTTGAATAATTTACCACTTGCTGATCATCGAAATATATTCTTTTAACATGACGGTGCCCCACCCGACAACGGATACTTAATAAACAATTTCCTAGAAGCTACGTTTTACGATCAATGGTTTGCTAATAATGGACCATTCATGTTGCCGCTCCGTTCGCTAAAACTAACAGTCTTGGACTACTTTATATGGGGGACAATAACAAATATTGTTTACCAGAACCCACTGACCACTCTAGATTACTGTAAGCAGAAGTAACAAATGCATTTGCTAGTTTGAGTCCGGAAATCATAAGAACTGCCCCTCATCAGGAGTACAGGAGTTAATACGTGTTATATGTTCTAAATGTTTGAAGGTTGGAGGTGGCCCTTTTGAACATTTACCAAAATAAGTTGTTGCTTGGTATGTTTTGATATCGTTTTATAATAGAATGAAATTTAAGTATAAATCGAAATACCTTATTGTTTCCTCTTATTCATTTCACTGTATGTGAGCTTGTTGGGAAATCTACTAGCAAACTTATCATAATTAATCTTCATACTATTCTGATTGTGAATACATGAAAATTATTAATTATATTATTAGAAGCTTAAATTTAGACGTAGTGATATTTCCGTAGTGCTCAATTGTCTGCATCTCGCCGTCATAACCAACTAATTAAAAAACTAAATCTGTACTTACAGGAGTTTTACAATAGAAAAGTAATAAATTGCAAATTACTCGAAAAGTAGACGTTTTTGGAATAGAATAACCCTGTATAAAGTTACGCTAATTTTTAATGCTGGATGCGATAAACTTATCAGAATGTTTTCATTCGAAAAAATCGACTTTTGGCAATTTTTGACACTGAATCTTTATATTAATTTTTTGACCACCCTATATAAATAATTATCGAAATATCATTCAGTCTATTAAACTATATCCCTGTTTATCAGAAAATCAATCCAAATTAAACATTAAGGTGTTGTACAAAGGGGAAATAAACAATTATTTTAGGGCCTGCAAACGTCATTTTTGACATAAAATTTGAAATATTTCAAAAACGGTTAGACTTGAGTATAATAGAATACACAATAAGTGTGATTAGAATTTTATGTAGAATCCGAATATTAAGTAATATACCATTTCAAAATAAGCAAGTTGGCATCAACTTCCGGTATAACCGGAAGTGCCACCATCTTGAAGATATTTTAGCTGACGTTGCTCCAAATTTTCAAAACTATCATATGCCTACTTTTTGAGAAATCTATCGATGGAGTTGCCGATGCGACATCATGTATACGCATGAATATGTTTGAATAGGTTTTATGTTTTGCCAAATTACGAAATTGGGATATTCTGTTGGGTGGAGCATATCTTGATCTCCTTTTATTAACCATACTCGTCATCGTGTAGGGATACTTATAAGCCGCGTGTGGATGCACTAGTAATCAACGCGAGTCTTCGAAACTCCTTATGCCGCCAAGGTTACACATAACTCATTGAAAAATCATCTATAGTAGGTATCAGTATTTTTATATATTCTGTATAAAATTAATTAAAATAAGAAATTTTTGAGAAAGTAAAACCTTGGGTTACTGGAAATCGGTTTTTCTTGGGTATCTTTTGAACGACAATGCATCATTCATCGAAGTTTTGACAGCTCAGTAAACAATTGGAGTTTGATTTGGTGGTGTTCACGGAAAACAATTGACTCATCTAAAACGCCAGGGATGCACTAGCCCCAGTGTAATATTGCTAACAATTTTTACATCCCGTATAGTAAGTGCCCAAATACGATTTAGAAAATGCCTAATGCGTTAGCTGAAAAAATGTATTTCCGTTTATGTTCGATTTTGAGAAATACGAATCTAAAACTCAATCAAGTGATCTAAAAGTGGTGGTGCCTCTCTGTCTCTAATTATGAATCTGTTAGCAAAATTACTATATTTGCAAAATGGCGTGACCAGTATACTGGATACGATGTCAACATTAATAGAACTATACTGAAAATTAATTCCACTGGGTTTTTGTCAAAAACGGTCTATCCTATCGATATCAAACACCTTTTTCATATCACAGATCAGGCTTTCCAAAAATGTTATCGTGGACCTTTATCATATAAGGTGTATTAATTTTTGGAGGCGTTGTGTTGGGGTTAGCCAATTCCAAGCGATCTAAATGATTTGCTCCTATTTGACAAGAACCGACATCAAGTAGCGATCTTTACGGCCCTGTATCTCCCTAGAGGAGAACTTGTGGCATTATTTTTTTGTGTTCTATATCTGAGACATTTTGAAAAATTTCAAACATTAATTTTTTACATGATGTAGAGCCCTGACTTACTGATTCTATCATGACGTTTGCCTAGCAGCCTGGTATTCTGGAAAAAATAAAGCGTATTTAAAACTGCGCTATTGAAATGATATTTTTACCTTGCAAACGCATCTGAATAATTGCACAAATTTGTCATTTTTGAGACTAAAATAAAAAATGTATACTTTTTAAAAATAACATCTAATTCATCTTGGATGTTTTACAAAATTTCAAATATTCGTTTTTTACATGATGTAGAATGCTGACTTACACAATCTATCATGACGTTTCCCTAGCATTCTGATATTTAGATGAAAGCAATAGTGAGGACCTTTTCAATAATCTTCAATGCAAAATATCACACATTATTTTTTCTAGAAAATGATGATGGAGAAAGAAGAAGTAGATGCGTCTAAGACATCTTTGGGCAATGCTCTATTATATCTGAATATCATTACCTTAATCGGACAACCGCAATTTTAGTAGCAGTACTATATTTCAGGTAAGTTATGTACTGTTTGAGGGATCTAGTCCCAAACATATTTCACATACTTAAAACAATGCTATTGAAATTATATTGTTAGATTAGAAAAGCACCTGAAGAATTGCACACATTTTTTATTTTTGAAACTAACATAAAGAATGTACACTTTTTAAAAATAACATCCAATCCACCTCAAAAGTTTTTTAGAACTTCAAACATTCATTTTTACATGATGGAGAACGCTGACTTACTGATTCTATCATGACGTTTCCCTAGCAGTCTGATATTCTGATAAAAATAGTAGTGAGGACCTTTTCCATCGTCTTCAATACAATAATACTATACAACATTTGTTTCAGAAAATGAGGAGGGTGATCGAAGAAGTAGATGCTGCTAAGACATCTTTGGGCAATGTACTATTATATCTGAATATCATTACCTTAATCAGAGAACCACTGTTTTAGTAGCAGAACTACATTTCAGGTAAGTTATATAGCGTAAGCATAGTGGTTAGAGGTCGTTTTTGTAGAACAGTCTCTGAGATTACACAGGGCGCTTTGCGCGCTGTGGAATCATGGTGTAGGGAAGTTGATCTTTCTGTCAACGCTGGAAAGACCGAGCTGATCCTATTCACTAGGAGAAGAAGGCTTGACGGGCTTGTCTTGCAGCCCTTCTTTGGGACTAGATTAGTTCTATCCCAATCAGTAAAATATCTAGGAATTATCCTGGATTGTAAAATGAACTGGAGAGAGCACGTTGAATTTGAGGTTAACAAGGCTCACGATTCATTGTGGGCTTGTAAACGCGTTGTCGGCGTAAGGTGGGGGCTTAAACCCAAAGTGGTTCACTGGCTCTACACGATGATAGGGCGTCCATCTCTGTTGTACGGCTCCTTAGTTTGGTGGCCCCGGATTGGAACTGAGACTACTAAGGCCGGATTCAATAAAATTCAGCGTTTGGCCAGTATTAGCATTACAAGCGCAGTGCAGACGACACCATTGAGTGCAATGGAAGCTCTGCTGGATCCCCCACCGTTGGATCTAGTGATCGGCGGAGAAGCGAGAGTAGTCGCTCATCGACTGTGGAGTCAGGGCAGCTGGGCCTTCTTTAATCCTGTCAAGGGTCATACTGCCTTCCTGGTCGGACTATAAAGGAAGGATCACGTCTTTCTAAGCAGGGGTGATCTGATTACCCCTCAATATGGCTTCAACCGCAAGTTTATTGTGGAGTATTCAACAAGGGAGGAGTGGGACGCCGGTTGCCGGAGGCTCACCGGAGTGAGTGGGCAAGTCTGGTACACGGACGGCTCGGTCACCGAAGAGGGCTCTGGCGCTGGGGTCCCGGGGCCTAGGACTAGGCTATCTCTACCTCTTGGAGGATACACCACTATTTGCCAGGCGGAAATTGTTGCGATTCCGGCTGTTGTATACCTCACTCAGGAGGGGGTGGGCCTAGGAGAAGAATAACAATCTTCTCCGACAGCCAGGCTGCAACGAAGGCACTAAGTGATCACTTTGAGCCTTGTATGGCAATGCAGGAAGGCTCTGGATTGTCTAGCAGCATGGCATCTGGTATCGTTAGTGTGGATACCGAGGAACGCTGCGATAAAGGGCAATGAGACGGCGGACGCTCTGGCGAAGACAGAATCAGCCAGCAAGCTCGTTGGTCGTGAGCCAGCTTTAGGGGTGCCTGCACCAAGGGTTAGGAGGGAAATGGAGAAGTGGATTGGAAGAAAACACTCTCAGAGATAGAGATGCATCTCTAGAGATCTACATCTGGCACGGAAACTCATTGTAGGGCCCAGTGCTAAGGATGGACGTTTTTGCTTATCTTTGGATAGAGCCAACCTAAGATTGCTGGTGGGACTGTTGTCTGGCCATAACACGTTAAGGCACCACCCGCACGTGATGGGGGTGGCTATGTATCCCTTGTGTGGGCGCTGCGGGGTAGAGGAGGAGACCTCGGCGCACTTTCTGTATCGCTGTGAGGCTCTTAGCTACCACAGGCAGGCTATACTGGGGTCCATCACCATGGACCGCCAGGACGTTAAGGAGCTTGGACTCAAGGCCTTACTCAACTTCTCTAGAATGATGAGGTTTGAGGTCTAAGGAATGTGGAGGTGCACAGTGGCCCATGCACAGGCTCCTTATGGTGGCCGGTATGCCCCTAATTCCATGTTTCATTTAATCCTTCAAGTTACGTAGTGTTTCAAAAATATTTCACATATTTAAAATGTTCAAGGTTTGTTTCAGAGGCTCCTGTTCTTTTTCAGGAAAAAAATTGTTGGTGCACTCCATCTAAGTAAACGGTTTGAAGATTTTAATTATTGCGTTTTAGTTTTATTAAACTAGCTTCATAGATTAAAGTATACTATTTTAGAAGTCGGAGTTTAATTAAACTAATAAATCTTGTTAGCTGTCACATAGCTAATTAAATTTTTTAATTGGCCGTATTAAAATTTGACTTTGTTTTATTTAAATTCGGCATATCGGCCCATATAAATTATAATGTTACTGATACAGATCATACATCATAATGATGACCTGAACATGATTATTAAAGCTTGAAGTACCAGGCACAAAACGTGGAATTTGACTACCCGTCAATTTTAAGGAACTTCATATTGTGGTAGGTCATGTTGTGCAAGTCAAAAGTCCCTATCGATGTATGTTACTTTGAATACAAATAGTACAAAAACTGTTTCAGCAAAAATGAAGGAAATTGGAAAAATCGTTACAGAGAGAAATAAACAACTAGTGTACTAAAAAGACTAAGGATGAATTGTAAGACAGCCAATATTATATTACATCCGAATGTCAATGCCGAAAGATGAAAAGGAACACTTTTTGTAGGACAACTGTATAAGACAAGTGCTGTATCGATGTAGCAACAGTTTAGGTAAGACAACTGTGACAGATTTACTATTAAGCTTACTTGCTGATAAACTGGTTTTATGAAAATATTTCAGCTTCGTTTTTACGTATGAAAAGGAGGTACAATCGATTAAAAAATAATAATACAACGAAAGTTAACACAATAAAATTATATACGTTTAGGCAATACTCAGCCAATCTGCTAAACTACATTTTTATGTATTTACCACCGTTCAAAAGTCTCTGGGCAGATGATGGTCGATGACAAAAAACTAAAAAAATGGTTCCAAGTAGATTGGCTCTATACCTCCTAAGCCTACGTTGGAAGCTTTAAAGGTAAAAGGGATAAGTTAAATCGTGTCAAAACGCGAAATCGATTTGTGATTAGTTAAAGCAAATCTACTATATTTCTGTTTCCATGGCCGATATAGGGAAAATATGTATTACTTATTATAGTATCACTGGGATCAGCAACTTCTTAATAATGATTTTTCACTGACATCACTTTCAAATTTTGAACCTCTTATCATTCATGATAAGTATTGATGTTGGCTAGCAGGTTGTCATCTATTTTAACACAAGCGATATATTTTAAAATGATACAATACAAACTGAGAATTTCCTTAGACATAAACACTTTTCTACATGAATCATGGGATTTCATTCCAAACATTAACCTGCTAATTCGCTTTTAGGCTCCTCTAATATTGTGAGATAAGTGGCTATATGCCAATACTTAACAGACTTCGACTAATCCTTTTGCGTTCAAAAAATATTTCATTTGTATAGTGTACTTAAGCTTGTGCAACATGATCAATATGTTCACAAAGGTTTAGTCTACTGTCAAAGTGCGTACCGAGAAGTTTGCAGGAATCAGTTACAGAAAGGTCATACATTTTTAGCTGAATCCTAATAGTACGTTGGATATTACAATAGTGTATCTCGAATAACAGGAAGCGCACTTTAGCGCTCATCCGGTATCGATAAATGACACATTCTTCCGAAGAGCCGTGCATTTCGGCTGGTCAGACTCAGATCACCCACTACTTGATCTGGCACGAACGCATCTCGTCAATAGCAATAGCTGCTGGGAAAAGGCTAGGCTATTTGTTTAGGGCTCTGCAGTACTTTTCTCCATATAACCTCCTCACCTTGTAGATCCAGATAAGATAAAGATGCGAGTACTGCTCACATGTTTGGAGTGCTGCTGCGCTGGCTACATTCTCCTTGCTTGATGCTGTTTAGAGGAGGGCTGTCCGATTGATCAATAATTCTTTCCCTCGAACCGGCTCGCGATTCTTTCGCACCGACAGGACGTCGGCGATCAACAGTTATGTCAAGGGGCTTTTCTCCTCAGAGCTCTCACCCATGATACCGCCGCGCGATGTCGCTGTTAGACAGACCCTCTTGACTTACCATCCTAACCGTGTCGAACTTCGTTACATCCAGAACTGTCCGATACGACCGCCCCTGAGTCCCTAGGGTTATTTATATTATGGAACAATCTACCTGAGGAGGCTTTTCCCAATTCTACTAAGCTGAGGTAGTTCAAAGATTGAATTAAGAGAGTTTCTTTAAGCTCCTCATAGCAGCCGCAGTGCTCTGGTATTTAGGCTTCTGCATATGCGATAGCTTCGATGCCTGAACTATAAGAACCAACACTGAAATTTCACACGTGAAATCTGTGATTAAATAATCAACTACAATATATTAAAAATGGTTCCCGTGAGATGTCGCCAGTATGTCGTATTTTCCTCTGTTAGGGATTAGAAAATTTCAACAACTTATGGTTAGTTCGTACAGTAGCCGGTAACTTGTCTGTGACTGTCAAAATCAGAATCAGAGAGATGTTACCTGTTCGTACAGTTTCTGACTGTTTGCCGACAGCTAGTCCGGTGTTTGTACAGCATCTTCTGACAGGTCGGAGTACCCCAGTCAATAAGTCACAGTGGCAGGTATCAGAGTGTGTCGAAACTATCTTGAGGACTAATATTGCTTCGCAAAAGGCGATTACTATGAGCGATATATCAAGCAACAAATATTCAGGAATGTCAGAATTTTCTTCGGAAGATGAAGACTTTGAAGACCTATTGGAAGAGAGAATGAAACCCAAAAACCTGAGATTTGTAGAGGAAGCACTGCCACAAGTCAACAGCATCTAGTTTTTGGTTCATTTTCGGGTGAGCAGGGAAGTGGCAGAAGAAATATCAGAGAAATTCCGTGGCAGTAGCCATTTTAATTATCAGGTAGGGCCATATGGGAAGCTAACCCCGTATAAACAAACGCGTATATTTTTATGGTTTACTGGATATCAAACAGCCAGCTTCAGGGATGTGGCTGATAGGTTCAATGTTTCTGTGAGTTACCTGCATGCTGTTATAGCCAAAATGACCAACTTTCTGAGTAGTCTCGCACCGGAAATTATAAAATGGCCTATAGAACAACAAACAAATAGGACAAGGCAATATTTCTTGAATAAAAATGGATATACTGGAATCGTTGGTATTATTGATGGAACCCATATAAAGATTGACAAACGAGAGGATGATCCGTTATCATAGATCAATAGAAAAGGATACTACTCTATACAGGTTAGTGTAGTTATGAGTATGTACCTATGCACCAAGTAGAGTTACTGATCTCTTAATATATACAGTTTACCTAGAATTAGCTTAAAACAACGGTTGTGTATGGGTGATTATCATGAAAGGTGAAAATTTTGAGTACTCGCTAAAAAATATCATTTTATAAAAAAAAATCCAAGTGTTAATAATGGAGGTACATTTTTAAAGTTAAGGAATATTCATAACTAATAAGTGCATAGTCTTTAATATTTCTGTTTTTTTATTTATAACCAAAAAACGTATGAAAACCTCACCTCCGTGACTGTTCTCTTTTACCATTGCCATCACAAGGCTACATAAAAACTATTACTAAGGAAGAAATCTATAGAAGTTTTATCTTGAATCTCCAGAATTTGTTTTTGTAGAAGAGATATGAACAAAACTTTTCTTTTGGAATATCATGTAATTTACTGTTTGCGCATCAACCCCTGTTCTGGAAAGTAGGTATCACCTCCGTGACGTACTTTTTGATGCAGATTTCGGCTCACAGATGGCGAACTATTCAATTTCTGGCATTGTATCGCGTTACAGCAAACCACGACCTATTTCGTTCAGTCGATATTAGGGACTGAAAGTGATCAGATGGATTCTCTCTTTAGTTTAAGACTTGTTAACCACGTGGAACCTTTGTTGTTCTCACATCCGTGAATTTGTTTTTTTTTTTTGGTAAGTAAATAAGAAAAATGCGTAGTTTTAATATTGATAAGTGGCATAATATTCCCACTAGAGCTGGTTTGAAATTTTCTTGTGCAAGACATTTTCACAACAAGTTATTAAAGAAAAATATGGTAATTCCTCACTTCCGTGAGCCTCACCTCCGTGAAGTTACCAGTTCACGGAGGTGAACCAAGTTTCACGGAGGTGAGACATTGTAATGGTTTAGTGAATTGAAGTATAATATATGCACCGACATTTTCAGAAGATGGCTCGTTTAAAAGTACAGAACAAAAATACAAAAGCTCATCACGAAGCAAAGAAAAGAAGGCAGCGCGAAGCTATGAGAAGGCTACGTGAATCAAGGCGACAGGATCCAGAGAAGTATGAAGAAGACAAGCGAAAAGAACGGGAACGGTATTACCGGAGAAAAGAAGCTGGCCAAATTAAAACCATTGACCAAATGTCAGAAAGAGAAAAACGGAATCAAAGGAAAGAGTGGCGGAATAGAAGTAAAAAACACTATCTTGGAAAGAAAAATGCAAAGGAGCTCGAGCTTAAATTACAAGAAAACTCACCACCTGCCACTCCAATCCCGGAAGAACTAATGGCTGAAGCACTATATGATGAAATACTTCAAGAAAGAGATGATGGAAGAAAGAGGCAAGGCAGGTCACGAAGAAGAAAACACGTAAAGTCTCTAAGAAAAGAAATAGATTTGTTAAAAGTCGAACTGGAAAAAGAGAAAAGAAAGAAGGAAAATATAGAATGAGACTAAAAAGATTAAAAAAGCGACTGCACAAAAACATAGGTTCGCCTGAAAAAAAAAGTGGAAGCACTAATCAAGGGACAAACTGTTTCTCCTGCTGTTAAGAAAAAACTGTTATTTTCAGAAGTTATAGCGAAACAGTTACCAGAAAATTATCGGGTTCTTACAAATCCTGCACAGAAAAGCACATTTTGGAAAAATATTTCTGGAAATGTTGTAAAAAAGTACAAACAAATAAGCTATTTGAAAAGAACTGCGTCTGTATTTACATTCTCAAAAGATAAATCTGAAACGAGATTAGTAAATCAGGAATTCATCAGGCAACAAATAAAAAAAATCCTGGAAAAAGATGACTGCAGTACGCTCTGCCCTGGCACAAACGATTATGTTATAAGAAAACATGATAAGAGGCAGAAACGATTACTAAATGATACACTCAGAAATCTACATAGACGATTTATAAAAGAAAATAAGTTTCTAATTAGCTACACAACCTTCTGTCGATTAGGCCCATTCTGGATTATACAGCCAAAAATAGAAGAACGAAATACCTGCCTTTGTATGATCCACGCGAATATGTGGTTGCTCGTTAGAAGGCTGAAAATCGCAAATATTATAAAAGAGAATTCTCCTGAAGAAGTATGTAGAGCCATTTGTTGCGAAGGGGAAGTACTGAAAGAAATATGTTTAGAAAGAAAATGCGAAAGTTGTAAGAAGAAAACAGTAGTTACAGCTAAATTTCATAGATCGGACACCATAGTTCATGAGAGATGGGTTATAAAGCGGGTTACAATAGTAGTGAAAGGAAAAGAAAAGTTGTGTACAAAAACTTTTAAGGAGAAGCTTACGTCTACTAAGGGTGAGGTTCTTCAAGCATTCCTTAATTCATTGCAGCCTCTTCTTTTGCATATAAAAAATTTAGAACACCAGATGAGAGAAATTCGAAAGATCAAAGAAAATATGGATAATACAGAAGTTCTAATACATATGGATTTCTCCGAAAATTATGGATGTAAATATGCTGAAGAAGTCCAGTCAGCCCACTTGGGGGCTCAAAAATGCAGTTGAGCTTGCACACGGTAGTTGTGTATTATAGAAGCTCTAACAATACTATGCAAAAAAATGTTTCTGTACAGTATCCAAAAAATTGCGGCATGACCCTGAGGCACTTTGCGCCCATCTACTTCCCGTTTTTAAAAAACTCAAAACCTTTGTAGGCAATTTGAAATGCGTTCATTTTGTAAGTGACGGACCCTCAACCCAATATCGTAACAGAAAGATGTTCAATTTGATGGCAAGCTTCATTACGAACGAGTTAAATGTAGAAAAGTTACGGTGGCATTATAGTGAGAAAGGTCATGGCAAGGGAGCTCCAGATGGAGTAGGGGGAGTCTTAAAGCGCACAGCTGATGCTATGGTGGCTCGAGGAATGGACATATCTAACCTACAATCTTTTTTGTTCCATTTGAAAGCAAACTGTAAAGGTCTCATTCTCTCTGAAGTTCAGATAGATGATGCAGAGCTTGACAAAATTGAAAAGACGATACCTAAAATACTGCCACCGTATACCGGAATTTTACAGTGCCATGAGGTTGTTTGGGTGAAACCACATACGTTCCTAGATATTCGAAAGCTCACCTGTCTCAGCTGCTCTCCATCCAAAGTTTGTTCTCATTATTCCTTGGGAACTTACCAATTGCAGCAAAGTATCCTTTTTTATCAAATTATTTTGGCATTTTCAAATATTTTCTAATTCCTCATTTTTCCTTAACTGATTATTAGCACATACAAAAAGAAGACTGATATACTCTGAGATTTATTCATCATCGTCGGAGGATGAAGACGACAATATACCTTTAGCTATGCTTTTAAACTGAAATAATTATGCTCTTTTACATTTATATAATCGTTTTTTCGAATAAAGGACTAAAATATAAACCAATTTAACATGAGTTTGCAATTATATGAAGTAGCTTTCACATCCGTGAGAGGTGATCACCTCCGTGAAATATATTTTTTCGAAATCCTCATAATTTCAAAAACCAATAGGTAAACTGTTTGACCTTATACCTAATCAAATATATCTTATGATGTTTCTCCGCGAAATTGCAACAGATATTGGAAAAACTCGATTTTTTTTTCTGAACAAAATTAGATCGATTTAATCACCTTTCATGATAATCACCCGTATTTAACTTCGACCATATACTAAGTGACATATAAATCCGAACACCCAGTTTAAACGGTTTTATTTTAATAAAATTTTGTATAAGTACTTAATGAAGCATAATAAGTAAATGATAAAAATTTCAAAATGATTGCACTGCTTTAAAGCACTTTGACCTTTAATAATGTGTGGATGCACCCTGATGTGCTACGCATTCTCCAACGCGCCTAGGCATGCTTCTGATCAGGTGGTCAATGTCCTCCTGTGGTATCTCATTCCGAAGTGCTTCTAGAGTCTGAGGAGGACGTTGCAAATTGAGCAATCTCCTACCCATCATATCCCACACATGCTCAATTGGAGATAAGTCGGGAGATCTTGGTGGCCATGGTAACAATGTGACATCATTATGTTGAAAGAAGTCTATTGTGACTCTTGCAACATGTGGTCGGGCATTATCTTGTTGGAAAGTTGGATCTGCCAGGGTGTCAAGAGAGGGTAAAAGATGGGGTTCTAGAACTTCGTGGATATAACGCTGCGCGTTCATGTTACCTCTGATGAAGGTTAAAGGTGACCTGGAACCATAAGCTATAGCACCCCAAACCATAACTCCGACAGTGTGATGAACGTCTTTCAACAAAAAACTGTGGATTCCTCCTTTCACCACGTCGCCTTCTAACCCTGCCACTACCATCGTGCATGCCTAAACAAAATCGAGACTCGTCACTAAAGACAATACTGTTCCATTCCTGATCCCAGAGTGACCGTTATCTGCACCACTCAAGGCGATTACGTACGGCCTTCTCGAAGCCATGCCTGACAACACCTAACCACAGTGTCTACACTTCTTTGCACTCTAACTGTAATTGCCCGAAAAGAAAATCCAGCTTCCCGAAGTCGCACTATACGGCCCCTATCAAACTCACTAAGTTGGCGAAATCATACAGGTCTCCGTACTCTAGGCATCGTAACCGATCGTAAAGGATGTCAAGAACCAAAATCCGCCAACGTTGATTCTTTACTGCGGCTGAAATATTCATTTTTAGAGCGTTAGTGAATTAACAAAAAGCAGTATAAAAACCGGAATGTCCAACTGATAAGGCTGAAAATTTTTTCACTTGTTATCTACAGTAAGATACATTCACCAACTTTTATTAAAATAAAACCATTTAAACTGGGTGTTCGGATTTATATGTCACTTAGTATATGTACATAGTCGTTCTTTCGATGCATTATAATAGTTGTGCTCCATGCTCATTTGCTGCTAATTTTCAATTATTGCTATATGACTGCATACCTACATCTTGAAAATACACTACATTATATATATATATATAATAACAATAAACGTCTTTATTTCCAAATAGACTGATTAGATAA